ATGATTGCATGTGATGTCTAATAGCTTTCCCAAATAATCAGGATAGCTGGCAATAACTTTAGGATAATTTAGATGCCTTGAAATCTGTGACATGTAAAACCACCAGTTCATTTAACTCTGACATCATTAACCAAGATTATTCTTTTTATCAGTGAAGTCTCTTGGTTCTGTCCAACCTCTCCTCCTACTCCTGCATGCAATATTCTTGAAAATGTATGAATTATCACCAAGGAATATTATAGAAAAATAACTTGAAGAGTAACATCAGCCGCTTCTGCCATGCCATGTCCATGGACCTATCCATTACTGAATGAAATATAGTGTCTTCTTCACCTTCCTTGAATAGATATAAATGAAGCTGCCACTTCTTCAGAAAGGAAAATCCAGCCCAGAACAATGGCATTTGCTGGGTCAAAAAAATAATAATAATTTGGGACTTCAAATATAAGAGCTAAATAAACTAAAGCTTAAATCAGAGTCACCTTAAGCCAGGAATTCTAACTTACTAAAGATCCACTATGGCTAAAATTTGCACTGAATCAGATGCATTGTTGTAATATCCCAAGCATTTGACTTGAAAACTAATTAGAAAATCTGGAGATAGTACTTGATATTCCTAACATGTCCCGGATGCCTTTGTGTTGTTCTTTCAGTTCCAATCTCCCATTTGGAAGCAACCCAGAATCTAACAATCAAACAAATCTGCCTAGCCAAGGTTCACATTCTTAATGCATCTCACTCAGGGAGAATAGGGGAGAACTAATCTGGTGGCCTTAGTAAGAAGCAAAAAGTGAGAAAGGCTATTTTACGCAGAGACGATTAACCAGCCCTCCATCTGTAGTTCAGCCGGCTCTTTATGAAACAAATGTGTTGTTCCTTCGCTTTTGTACACAGACAGGTCTGTAAGTGTGCACGAGAAACCACAGCGAGAGGCTGGAAATCAATCACATCAATATTATGTTCTGCTTATTTCCAAACCATAGGCTGGAACTCAGCTAACCTAAACTTTCCTGAACGTTAATACAACAGCCGGCAACACGAATTAACCAAGCAATAGATTCCACGAGTAATGAAAACAAGACTGTAGCACATGACATGGATCTCAGTTTTGACAGCCATTTTCGGTCAACATAACATATGAGCTCAGAAATGAAGTTCCAGCATGTAACTTTCACAAAAGACTCCCCCTATAAATAAAGTTGTTCTAGAAAATGACTCGCAGCATCAGACCCTGAGCATCTTGGCCAATAATAAATGGAACATTAATGCAAACTGACTATGTCTTCCCTGTCCCTGTGAACTAATAGACTAAACATCGCAGGCATCTGGAATTCTTGCTTTGCTGTGGGCTGTCATACAGTTTATCATCCCAAGACCTACTTGACTGGCTGGTGCTCTTAAAAGCCCCAGTCCTTCTGCGACTGCACTAAAATTCTGTTTTGAGTAGCGGCAGCTTTTGTTGAGGATCAGAGCAGACAGGAGAAGGGGCTCGAACAGAACTACGTATCATGCTCGGATAATGTGCACAGCAGAGAGGACTGAGACGAGGGCATTATTTTTAAATTGTGTCTGGCCAGGATGTCAGTATTGATTGAAGAATTCAGCAGCACAGAAAAAGCGTCAAGTCTGCATTCCGAGATGGAGAGGCGGTTAGCCACTCTATTTCTTGTCAATGGGTGAGATCAGTCTCTCGTTTTTAGAACACATCATAATAAAATCATGAGCATCTTGTGGGATCTCTAAAGAGAAGGTTGCTTCCCACCTCTGCACCCCCTTCCCCAGCAAACTTCAGGGGGAACACACAAAAGCTAATAGCCTTCCCAGCCTTCCTGGAGCAAGGCAATTTGACGTGAAAATGTTTTTCTCCTAAGTGATGGAATGTGCAGTCACGCACCAGCAACCCAGGGCTGCATGTCAACGTGTCTGTGCCGGCTGCGAGCGCTCTGGGGCTGGACAGAGCACAGCCAGAGAGAGAGGCCCTTGAACGCAGGCGGGGAGGCTGCCCTGTATTTCAGAACATGAAGGTTTATCTTCCAGCAGAGGGCTTTGATGTTATTCATATGCTAACAATATCCCCACTTCCTCCCAGGGAATAAAAGGCATCATTTGCTGACAGGGGCTCAGCACTGCCCGCCCGGCAGACAGATCACCAGGCTGCACTGGGCTACACAGGAGAGCCACCGCAGAACCTGAAACTGTTCTTTTAACACTGCAAAACTCGGTCAAAATAACTTCCCATTTTCTACGAGAGAATGATGAAACAAAGAACTCGGCCTGTGTTTTCCCTCCGAGGCTCCGGCTACAGCGCAGCCCCATTGCCCGAGGGCTACTTTCATCTGGAGTAAGTGCTGGCATATGCCGCGCCTGTTAACATAGCTGGCCACCAGATGAAGTGAATTAGCCCAACTGCCAAGCTTCCCACTTTCCTTCCAATTTAAACATCAATTTAACACAGAAACTGAAGGGGATTATGAAAGCTTTAATATGAACCATTTCAGACATGAGAAAGAAAAAAAAAAAACACCACTGGGAGGCTTTTTTTCAAACAGCCAAACAAATATGCAGTTTGTTTTTTTTTTTTTTCCGAACCTAAGATGAGTGAGGGAAATGAATGGGGTGGCAGGAGTATGCACAGGACAGGCAGAGGACAGCCTCTTTGTCGTCAAGAAGCAAGCTTTTCTGAGCAAGGAGCATGCAAGCAAAGCAAAGGAACCTGGATGGACTTGGCTAGCTCATTAACTAGATACAAATGGCCATCAACAAAGAAGAGACTTGTGGCTCAGAACATCTCAAATTGCAGGCCAGCCACATGCATGGTGGTGGTGGGGGCGGGGTCGACATGATGGTGGGAAGGGGCGTAACCATCTTCTGTGCGTTACTGGGGCCCTGCCATTGCCTAACTGGCTCTTCTCACAGAAGTGATTTCTGCACTTGGCTCCCTGGCTGTCAACAGCCCGGCCCAGCCTGTGTCCCGCAAAGCCCTGAGAAGGAGACTACTTTCGAGCTACTCCCGAACCGTAACCACCCATGCTTTCTCGCCCAAGACGGAGCACATCCCAGCATATTCCACGTCAGTGCCGGCCTGCACATACCACCCCACAGAGCGTGAATTATTAGCAGGCATAATCTCTCACCTTGTTTTAAACCTTCACCATACAAATGTACATGGAAGTACATTATGCAAAATATGTAAAGAAGTATATTCACAATTATCCATGTGTAGCCTTATTAAAATAGCACATTTATAGGTTTAAAATGCGATCCGAAGTTATAGTCAACCAAAATTTAGTAATATACAAGTACATATGATTTTGCTACTGAAAAATATTCCTGAAAGTTAACAATGTGACTACAGATTTTTCTCTGCAGAAAGGTCTTTTTTAGAGAGGTGTGGGGAAGAAAGAGAAAAGAAGCAGATGGAGACCGGGGCTGGCATTGTGGCATGGTGGGTTAGCCCACTGCTTGGGACGTTGGCATCCCATGTTGGAGTGCTGAGAAAGAGCTGGGGATCTCCCAACTACTTGGCACCCCGCTAGGCACGTGGGAGACCCAGAGAGCGTTCTAGGCTCCTGGCTTCAGCCTGGATCAGCCCTAGCCAGGGAAGCCATGTGGGGAGTGAACCCATGGATAGAAGATGTCTCTCCTCTCCCTCTGTCACCCTGCCTTCCAAACAAATAAAATAAATCTTAGAGAGACAGACAGAGATAGAGAGGAAGGCGAGACAGAGAGATAGAGAGGGAGAGGGCGAAGGAGAGAGGAAGAAAGAAACAGCGACAGAGAGGCAGGAAAGAAAGATGAAGACAGGAAGAGAGGGAGGAGGGGGAGGGAAGGTGGGAAGGAAGGCAGGAGGCAGAGACGTCAGGTCCACAGCACAGCTCCAACCACAGTTTCCTCCTCAGAGGCGTAAGCCGGGAAAGTGCAAGACTACGCAATCCATATGCATTCACTGTGCAAACTGTGAGGCTATATAAAGTAACAGCGGCATTACCATATCAGGGTTGCACCGTGGTTCCCATATGCAATGCACAGGGAACATCACTGGCAAGTCCAGAAGAGCCATATGCACTGCTCAGTGTCACTTCCAAGTGCAAAACACAAATACAAGAGGCAACACACTCACAGCGCACCAAATGATCAAGCAATTTACCGAAGATTAGCATCTAAGAAACAAATACTCTAAAATACCATATGCATGTATTAATGTTTTTTTTTTTTACTTTGGTGCTAAAAGTAAGTGTTCAGAGAATTTTCTGTTCTGGGGCTGTTGGAAGCGAAGGGAAAGGGAAATGACGGAACCATTCTGCTCGCAGGGACGTGAGAGGTCATGGAGTCTTATTTTTAAACAGGGAAACTGAAGCCCAGAAATGTCCAGGTGCTTGCCCAGGAATACAAAGCCCGTGGACTTCCTGGCTCTCGGCAGACCAGGCCCACAACTAAGGTGCACTGATGAGCTCCTCTGTACTAAAACACACGCACACATGTACACACAAACACATGTATACACACATATACATGCATGCACACACATACACTTCACAGTCTGGGTCGGCTCCTCTGCCGTTCAGCACCCACAGAGATGTCCAACTCGGGCTGATGAGCAAGACCACCCAACACCACCACCCACGTGTGCCTGGGGTGGTGCCTGTAGGTGCCTGTAGCTCCTGCTTCCCATAGATTCTCTAAAGAAAAACAGATACCTCTCTCTAAGGGAGTCAAAAGAGAGCCCCAAAGTATTTAATTCTGAAACAGGCTGCACAGAGAATGCCTTGGAGGGGATGTTTTGTTCTTACCCACACACTTGAGGCAACACCCAAAGTGTGCCTGGCCTGAGCCATCAGCCATTGCCACCGGGCAGAGAAAGGCCTGGAAGTGTAAGCAGAACGCTTGGCTCTCAACTGCACCCCTCAGCCCTCGGGATCATGTACCTCTGCTGTCACAGAGAAGGACTCCTGCCCCCAGCACCCTGGGAGGGTAGGGAATCACCAGACGGACTTCCTCACCTGTAGTGACACGTGAAACAGCGACTTGAAGGGAACGTGGCCAATCACTCAACTCCCACTTTTTTCTCCAACAGAACTATGGGACCTTTCTCGTCCTGAAATGGCAAACATCCAGACAGCTCCTTAGCGAATTAAAAACACAGTGTAACAACTCTTTCTCCCTGAATATCTTTTCCATTTCAAGGCAGACACAGATCCAGCCTACATTATCCCCTCAAAGCCGGGATTAGAACAGGAATTCAGTTTGTTCAACTTGAATGATCACACCAGAAAGCCTCCAGCTTGGACTAGCAGGAAGGGAGAGGTTGTTGATGCTTAAAATATTTCCCAAACAGATAATTTGCATGTCAATCACAGAAACACCCAGCTTTCTACAGACTGCTGAGATGTGAGCTCCCAGATAAGGCTTAAGAGGACTTGTTAGTACGTTTAAAATCATTCCCCAACCATCAAATTATATAATTCAATATTCAACATTGTTCCTATAGTTCTGAACAGTGCCATTAACCAGACATATAAAAGGATTCTGCTTTCAGATTAATCACTTTAATTCCATCCCTGGCTCCATCAACCCCCACTCTCCCATCGATCCAATTACAGTGGAAATCACCCTATGTTATTTTAACTTTCAATAAAACTTATTTTAAAATAGATTAAATGTAGTATATAGGAATATCATTATGAACCAAGCTATTCACTAGCCATGTTTTCTTTTGTTGTCAGTTTCCTAAAAATGAATAATCACTACACCTAGAGTCATAGCAGTTACATGATTACAGAATGTACCCACTGTATCACCGCTACAATGCAGCAGCTGCACAAAGCAAATTTAATGTCATTCATCAGTAAGGAGACACTCATCAGTTTACCTGACAGTGGTACTGCAAAAAGATGTATAGCTTCGGCTCGGAATTTTCGCTAAGGATGGCTGTCCCATCTCTTCTGGACTTAGCACACAGGGTCTTCGAAAGTTGACGAAAAAATGCATACTAGGAAAACACAATACAGAGATTTCAGAAATGTTTTGCACCAAAGTTAACTAACCTTTGCACTTGCTTTTAACGCAAACTTTGTGGAGGAACCACATATCGGGTCTGTTACACATGGGATTCTTTAAAATCAAAGTCCTCAAGGCAACAGTGAAATTAAGGGTCTGCTTTTAGCCACTTGGAAAAAATCCAGCCATGGGATAGATGATGTCAACCCTGTGAAAGGCAGACGCTTGAGCAGCGAGAGGCACCTTTGCTAAAGGGCAGTTGCTAATGGCTTCCCCAGGTCGGGATTGATAGACCACCAGACCAATCATGCAGAAGATCTCCTTGAAGAATTACTGAGCAGTAGTCACTGGCTGCTGGGCATGGAGAACTGGCAGCTAAGAAAACTGCTCTGAAATAAGGTGCGGGAAGAGAGCTGTTGTGGATGAACATCGATTCCCACTCCCCACCCCAACCGTGTTATCATCTCCCTGTACCAGGACCAGTTTCTCACAGCTCTGCCCTTGTTTCTGCATGTTGCTATAATACTCAGCTCTTCATTGTCATCCACCACAAGGGGTTAGACAGGAATAGTTCTTAAATTCACCAAATTTCATCGTTAACTTCAAACAATGTTTAAATCACGAGCACCTTGTACTTCAAGTGCATCCTAGGGGTCAGCACCATGGCCATCACCTGTAGCTTGGTAGTCACAGGACCTCAAGAAGCAGAATCCATCTGCCTCAGGATCCCCATGATGACTTACATGTACATCAAAATGTAAGAAGCACTGACATAGTTATTTTTAAGATGTTAGAAACAAAGAGACGAATTAAACCCAACATAGTATCTTTTTTCCTTTAGTCCTTAGAATTTGTCAACTTGAATTTGATCCATATTTTATAAAGTCCTGGGGCTAACCAAGTCAAGACCAATGGTTCTCCTTCACATCGCTTGGGAAATCTTTCTCACTTGCTTTGGATTAGAAAATATAAGACTAAGAGCTAAGAAGTCCAAATACTAAGTCTTTCTCTTGCGTACTTGTGTGTTCTTGGGTAATTCAGTCTATTCTGCGTACCTTCCGTGTTTGACACTGTTCTGGGTTCCTGGGATTCAACACTGGAAGAGAGAGACATGGTGTCTTGGCCGCAATTTTCTAACTATAAATGAAACAGCCTTTTAGGGAAAAAAATGGCACAGATAAAGAAAACTTCATGGTAATTTCACAGAACTGTAAGTAAGCAGTTTGTGCCACACAGAGCAGGAAATGTGGGGAGTGTTGGGAAGATACCCAGGATTATCTGTCTATCTTGTTTGGAAGTCTGTTCCCTGGGCTACCTCAAGCATTTGGGAATGGAAACAAAAGGAGACCTGAATTTTAGAATATTTCTCTGGAATTGAAGGAAAGGGCAGATCTAAGAGAGAACAGGCTGAACACAGGCTATCCAAGGAGAGGATATTAAAGTGTCAGTGAAGAGACAAGACCCTGAAGTTCTAGGAGACGTAGATAGAGCTATAGGACAAAACTGGCAGAAGCTTGTGTGTGCCTGATTGTGTACATGTGTGCATATGTGTATATATTGTGTATGTGCACACAGATATTCACTAAATCTCTGTGTACATGTGTGTTGTGTTTGAGTGCACACATGGGTGTGCTCATGCAGGGCATGTGTATGCCTATGTGTGTATAATGTGTGCACATGTGCTGTGCCTATATGTGCTCTGTGTGCATGTGTGTTATCCACATGTGCATGCATGTTAGCAAGTGTGTGTGCGTATGCATGTTGGACCGTGTGTATGTATATGTATGTCCGTGTGTGTGTGTGTGTGTGCGTGTGAGATGGGTGATGAGGGAAGTAAAACAGTTGTGAATGACTCTAAGGTTCCCAGCAGAGCGTCTGAAGCGATGCTGGTGCTGTTAACTCCAAGAGGAAACAGGATGGGAGAGAGTGAGTGTGGGGCGAGCAAATCAAAGAGCCCCTGAGTTTCGTGTTGAGCCCCTGAGTTGGAGTGGTGACACCGACATGCAGGAAGGAATGAGGACTTGTTGTTCCCAGCAAGACGGCAGGTGGAGGACAAACTAGAAAATTTCAGTATCGGCCGGCACCGCGGCTCACTAGGCTAATCCTCTGCCTTGCGGTGCCGGCACACCGGGTTCTAGTCCCGGTCAGGGCGCTGGATTCTGTCCTGGTTGCCCCTCTTCCAGGCCAGCTCTCTGCTGTGGCCAGGGAGTGCAGTGGAGGATGGCCCAAGTGCTTGGGCCCTGCACCCATGGGAGACCAGGAGAAGCACCTGGCTCCTGCCATCGGATCAGCACGGTACACTGGCCGCAGCGCACCAACCGTGGCGGCCATTGGAGGGTGAACCAACGGCAAAAGGAAGACCTTTCTCTCTGTCTCTCTCTCTCACTGTCCACTCTGCCCATCAAAAAATAAAAATAAAAAAATTTAAAAAATAAATAAATCTTAAAAAAAAAGAAAATTTCAGTATCAAAACAGAAAGCATCGACCTTTCGAAGGACATACAGACAGGAGGGAAGACTTACGAGGACAGTGAAGTGTGAGGCACCTCAGAAAGGACACGCCCAAGGGCAATTAGCCTGGGTCAGTTTAAGAAAACTGAACCTTCAGGACAGAGGAGACAACATCAGAAAGACAGAGAGAGAAGCAGCAGCAGCAGCAGAAAATGGGGTGCTGGAGCCCCAGACGGGGCACGCACAGAAAGCCCCTCCTCTCTCTGGATTCTGCCGGCTCATGACCCACTCTTACCATTTCTAGACTTGGGGGCACACAGCCCCAATATGTCCCACCTGTACATGTGTGAGGGTGACAAGGTATTGCACATTTTCCTTCCTAAGTGATAAAACGCGTTCAGAATGCGCAATACCCCATTTCCCAAAAAATGGTGCCTCGTCCAACTCGCTCTCACCGTATTTCTTCTCACTATACTGACAGACATCTGTCCCTACGAAGATGAAACACACATAGAACTCATTAAATATCAGTAATGAAAAGAAAAATGGTAGAGAACACTGCAAGATGAGAACGGGCTTCTCACTGACTGCGTAGCTGGACAGGAGAGTAGAACCTTAGAATCCTTCACTTCCTGGATCCGGAGTCGAAAGGAAGCCCAGCTTAAATACGCTATGTTCTTTCAGCTTCAAGATGGTTCCCTACCCACAGTCTGAGAGTGAGCGAATCAAAGAACAACAGATCTGAGCAGGGACCCATGTCATGCTGTAGCGGGTGACGCCTGTGCTGCCGGCATCCCACACGGGTGCCAGTTCAGTTCCCACTGCTCCATTTCCCATCGAGCTCCACGTTGATACACCTGGGAAGGCAGCAGAAGATGGCCCAAGTGCTTGGACTGCTGCACCCACATGGGAGACAGAAGAAGCTCCTGGTTCCTGGCCTCACCCCATCCCAGTCCTGGCTGTTGCAGCCATTTGGGGAGTGCATCAGAGAATGAAATATATATTCTCTCTCTCTCTCTCTCCTCTCTCTCTCTCTCTCTCTCTCTCTCTCTCTCTCTCTCTTTCACACACACACACAGCCTCATGCAACAACTGTCTAAGAGGAACGGATGGGAGCGGTGGGGAATCTGAGAGCTCCGAGTGAGCCAGTGCGAGCTGAGAAGAAGCAGACAGGGCAGGCAGGTAAAGGTAACCGTGCAACGACAGCAACTTCAACCCAGGAAGCAAAGGCAAGAGTCATCCGGCAGAGGGAATTCACAATTAACGTGGAAGCCAGAGGTTGCTAGGGATTAGCTGAAGGAGGAAAATGACTTGAACTCGTTTTGCTAACCAGGATGAAATGGGAAACAAAGTATCAAAGTCAGCCATGAAACTGGTGGGAGCCGACTCCTGGAGTCACCTGCAAGCCATTGGCCTTTCTCCTCCTCCCTCTGCCTTTGTCTTCCCACACATCTGGACACCTGCGCAGCTTCCAGCAGCCCTGGAGAGCTGGCGCGACCACACGGGATGTCGGGGGAGACCCAGCGCTGGACTTGGGTTCCTGCTCCATCACTACAAGCTGTCGGACCAGGAACTAACTTGGTACTGAGTCTCATTTTCCTTGTTTCTAAAACGGAGGTAATTATAGGATGTCTATCATAGGCTTGTTCTGATATTTTTATGAGATATAAATACTACTCAGCCCATTTGTGGCAATAACATGAGCTATTCCATCAGTGATAGCTATTATCAAAAACATAGAAATCAGAATCAGAATAGCAATAGCTTACATATAGAAGTTACCTGCATTAGGTGAGTGTTTTACACCTACCAGCTCTGTTAGTGGTTACCCCTTTTATAGCCAATGGCCCTGAAGTACAAAGAGGTTAAGCAACTGCCCAAGGATTCCAGCCATCAGCACTTCAGCTGCAGACTCTGGGCTCTAAAACCTATTACAAGAGGCCAGCATTGTGGTACAGCAGCTTAAGGCTCCCCTATGAAATGACCATCCCGTATGAGGACTTAGCTCGAGTCCTGGCTGCTCCACTTCTCATGCATCTCCCTGCAAATGCGCCTGGGGAAGCAGCAGGAGACGGCCCCAGTGCGTGGGCCCCTGCACTCCTAGGGGAAACCAAGATGAAGTTTCTGGCTCCCAGCTTCAGCCTCCCCAGCCCCATCTGTTGTGGCTGTTTGAGGAGAGAACCAGCAGATGGTTTCTTATTACGACTTCTTATTTCTCTGTCACTTCACCTTTTGTTGTGTCCTTAATCTAAGCTAACTTAGGGTTTGAATTAATTACTTATAACCAAACTCCACACTTTCAGATAAATCTCAAATAAAATAAAATCCGCTACAAGAAGGGTCCTTGAAGCAAATATGCAAAATATGCAAAACTTTGGTATCTTATAGACAATACTGAAATTTGACAATAGTGACAGGCGTTCTTTATTCATATCAGATTCATGGTGAGAAAGGTGTCTTTGTGACACAATTCATACATTTTTCAACTTACAGTATTTGTTGTTCTGGTAAATATTAGGGAATGGGACATGAGGAAGGGAGC